CGAGGCCCAAGTTGGAAGACTCAACTCACCTTTGATGTCGAGTGACACCGTCTCACTGCGCCAAGCCCCCAGGCCATTGTCGGCCTCACAGGCATATTTTCCAGAATGTTCTGCGGACAGGGGGAGTTTGAAGGACGCTCCTCCTCTGTTGTAGACCCTGCTGCTCCCCAGGGCGTTGTCCTCGTGATAAAACCGGTACAGGATGGGGGGAGAGCCCTTCCAGGCCCTACAGTAAAGCTCCACCACGTCCCCCTCCACGATCTGGGATCTGGGCCTCCTGATGGCGAGGATGGGGCGGGACACTGGGACTGAGGGAAGAAAAGTAAGTTGGTTGACATCTGTATCTTTTCAGATTTCTTGTATTTTCATTTTTCAGACATGACCTCTGCACTGTATTGATGACGTTTTCTAGATCTTTCCCTGTACCAGAACACTCATGCATATCAACACATCAATAGACACATAAAAGCATACAGGCACGTACACGCACAGGACCACAACATACGCACTGGTCTGTGCCTGGATTTTTCCTTCAGGAACGCACCATGAGCATCTTTCCACGTCATTGCTTGAAGATCTGTCTCATTTGCTTTTAGAGATCCAACTTATTGTGGTATGATTCACACGCCACAAAATGCAACTCTCTGAAATCTACAATTTGCTAACTTGGGATAAACATTGCTCGATTACTTTAATAACCGCAAAGCATTCCAGTGCATGGATTCACCACAGTACACTGAAGCAGTTCCCCACGAGCAGGTGTTTATGTCCCAGCTCTCCTACGATGTGACGTCCCACAGTCCTGCATACACGTCACGGTACATTTGCACATGAGCTTCTGAGCATGAATTCTTAGAAGTGGACTTTTCTCGGGTGAGGAATATGAACATTTCAAGTAACCATATATTATGCTAGATTGTTCTTCAAAAACTTTGGACCCTTTTCCCTTTGCATTAATGGAGGTAAGAGCTCCTGCTCCCACACTGTCATGAGTGATAGTCACAGAAATGCAGAGGCTCATTTTTATTATTTCTTGTCTCTTCCTAATCCTAAATTCTACAGTTATTCTTTTAATGATTATGTATTTTTGAGAGAGAGAGAAAGAGAGAGAGCAAGAGCAGGGGAGGGGCAGAGAAAGAGGGAGACATAGAATCGGAAGCAGGCTCCAGGCTCTGAGCTGTTGGCATAGAGCCCGATGGGGAGGCTTGAACTCACAAGCCGTGAGATCATGACCTGAGCCGAAGTCAGATGCTCAACCGACCGAGCCACCCAGGCGCCCCTACAGTTATTCTATCTGAACAACTCCCCCGTGTATCCTATGTGACTCTTCTGTCTACTTGCTGATTTTTCATGGGCTGCTGGTGAACTATAATCCATGAATGAGAAGTTACTGCCTGCAAAGTATTCAGATATTGCTTACAAAATGGAAAATTTGACAGCTGTCATTAATTTTTCAAAATGTATCAAGTCAATTCTTTTTTGTGCTCCCCTATGAAATAACAGTAGTAATCGTGAGAAAATTCTTGTTCTCTTATTTCTTTTTCCCCATCTGGCCAACTAGCTTTTCTTTGTTATGTATATATTTTTTACACCTTTGGCACTCTCTGTGACCATAACTCTCACAGTTGATTAGGCTTGTTTTCATAACTGATTCAGTGGTTTTCACCCTATGTGTACAATATTCTTTTTTTTTTTTTTTTAATTTTTTTTTTCAACGTTTATTTATTTTTGGGACAGAGAGAGACAGAGCATGAACGGGGGAGGGGCAGAGAGAGAGGAAGACACAGAATCGGAAACAGGCTCCAGGCTCTGAGCCATCAGCCCAGAGCCCGACGCGGGGCTCGAACTCACGGACCGCGAGATCGTGACCTGGCTGAAGTCGGACGCTTAACCGACTGCGCCACCCAGGCGCCCCAACAATATTCTTAACTAAGGACGTGTAAAAAAAAAAAATAGAGATTCTGAGACCACATCTGAGAGATTCTGAATGTAATGGGTCCAGAGAGATGATTAGTAATGAGCCTGTTTTCAGAGCTCCCAGACTCTAGCCTGCAGCCAAGGCAGGGCTCTGCTGGTCGCTGGTCCAAAGAGATCCAGCTTGCACTTCTTATAGCTAACTCCTTTTGAGCCCTTTGTATCGATTCATATTTTGGCTGGCTGGATTTTGTCATCATATAACTTGTTCGAGAAGGTTTAATGGATACTAAGTTCCCTGGGTCCCTGCATGTTTGAGCATGTCTTTTGGATTTGGTATAAAATTCTCCATTCTTTTTCCTCCTTTGAAAGTGCAAATCTGCGGAGAAAGAGGATCTCTTTTGCACTGCTGGTGGGAATGCAAGCTGGTGCAGCCACTCTGGAAAACAGTATGGAGGTTCCTCATAAAACTAAAAATAGAACTACCCTATGACCCAGCAATTGCACTACTAGGCATTTATCTACGGATACAGGTGTGCTGTTTCAAAGGGACGCATGCACCCCCATGTTTATAGCAGCCCTACTGACAATAGTCAAAGGATGGAAAGAGCCCAAATGTTCATGGATGGGTGAATGGATAAAGGAGATGTGGAGTATTACTCGGCAATCAAAAAGAATGAAATCTTGCCATTTGCAACGACGTGGATGGAACTGGGGGGTATTATGCTAAGTGAAATTAGTCAGAGAAAGGCAAAAATCGTATGACTTCATTCATATGAGGACTTTAAGAGACAAAACAGAGGAACATAAGGGAAGGGAAACAAAAATAATATAAAAACAGGGAGGGGGACAAAACAGAAGAGACTCATAAATATGGAGAACAAACTGAGGGTTACTGGAGGGGATATGGGAGGAGGGATGGGCTAAATGGGTAAGGAGCACTAAGGAATCTACTCCTGAAATCATTGTTGCACTACATGCTAATTTGGATGTAAATTAAAAAAGAAAGAAAGAAAGAAAGAAAGAAAGAAAGAAAGAAAGAAAGAAAGAA